ATGAGACTAGAATGCTAGGCTGCTAACCTCCAACCTTCTGCTTTAAGATGCGTCTGGTACGTGGATGTGACAGAGAGCAATACTGGGCAAATCAGATACACCTGTGATATCCTGGCTCCCAGTGTAAGCATGAGGAAGTTAACTTAATTTTTTGAACTTTAATTTCCTCATTTGTAAATCAGGAATAATAACTAAACCATGGTTTCTGATTAAATGGTACAGCATACCACCAAGTACATTGTAAGTACCCATTAAATGTTAGTTGTTTTCTTCTAGGTTAGCTTTCTAGTACTGCCTTTGATAGTTTAAAAGCCCTTCCAGGAAGCCAGGCACTGAGTATTGAAGCCAACACTTTTTGCCCTACACTATGTAACTATAAAAGAAACATAAGATAATTCTTACCTTGATTTTATTTTTCTACACTTTAGCCCTACTTTAAAATGTTTACTAATTATTTCATGTGTATAAGTTTTTTCTCAACAATATTATAAGTATTTTGAGGCTAGGGGACCATGTCTTCATTTTTATATATTTCTCATTACACCCATCAAATTGTTGTGTCAATTACTGTGGTCGTGGAAAAAGAGCACCCTCCTCAGTAATTATGCTAAATACTTTCTGTTTACCCCTCCAGACCCACTCTTCACTTTGCTGTCAACTGAATCCAACAACACAAAAGAGATTATACACTATGACCAAGTAGGATTTATATAAGGAATGCAAAATTGGTTTAACATCCAATAATCAATGTAACATGCCATATTGATAAAGTACAGAAATCACATGATCATCTCAACACAGAAAAAGCATTTGACAAAATCCATCACCCTTTCATAATAAAAGCACTCAACAAACTTGGAACTTCCTCAGCCCAATAAAGAGTATCTACCAGTCAGGACCCTCTCTCGTTTTGAGAGCTGTTATTTTCTGCTCTAATAAAACTATCCTCAGCTGTAAACTTAAAGTATTTACCAAAAAAAAAACCCCAATGCAAATATCACGCACATCTGACATACTTAATACTTTCTCCCTAATATTAGACACAAGACAAGATGTCCACTCTTACCACTTCTATTCAACATTGTTTTGGAGGTCCTAGCCAGGGCTGTTAGGAAAGAAAAAGAAATAAAAAGCATCCAGATTGGAAAGGAAGAAATAAAATGCTCTCGATTTGCAGGTGACACGATCTTGTATATAGAAAACTAAGAAATAGATACAAAAAATGAGTTCAGCAAGGTTATAAGATATAAAGTCAATATACAAAAATCAGTTGAAATGTGATATACTGGCAATTAACAATCCTGAAATGCAATTAAGAAAAATTCCATTTAGCATCAAAAGATAAAATATTTAGGAATAAATTTAACCAAAGAAGTGCAAGACTGTACA